AGGCTCGTAACAGTAGCACCATCTGGTAAGTGGAAGAGCCGTTCGTGGGAACTGCTGGTAACATAGATTGATTGAGAAGGGTTGATCAGTTGTACTGCTTTTTGATTCTTGAAATTTGAAACTTTTTTTGTGGAATATTAATTAATTATTGTGGCCCAGGCTCACCCAGACTCCTCCCTCAGTTGTCCCCGGGTAATTTGAGTTAGAGAGCCGTGGCGTAGAACATTTACAATTACAATTGTGCATGTGTTATAATTTAATCATTGTATCATTTCAGCTTCCATTTTGAGAGCAGAGACGGGCGAGACAGCCCCAGCTTCAAGACCAGTAGTAGCGAGCGCCGTAAAACCTCTACTAAAACTAAACTAAATGAAACACAAACTATTCTTTTTTAAAACCTACTACGTCCACAGGAGCACGAGCGTGAGGTAGAACGACTGTCGGAAAAACTGCGATATCAAGAAGACGAGCTCTCAGCTCTCAGGACAGACCAACAGGACATGGTCGTGCGGGAGCGAAATGCTCTACAGGTGTGTGGGACTCTTTCTTCATCGCCACAGTCATTACCGTCGTCGTTAATGTCGTCATCATCATCATCATCATCATCATCATCATCATCATCATCATCATCATCATTGTTGTTATCATCATCAATGTCATCATCATTGTCATCTTCATCATCATCATCATCGTCACCATTGTCGTTATCATCATCATCGCCGTCATCTTTGTCATCATCATCATCATCATTGTCATTATTTTCATCAGCATCCTCATCATCGTCATCGTTATCATTATCGTCATCGTCATCATCATCACTTGCATCACCTCTCTTTGCTGAATAGTTGGCGTATCACCTTTAAATCGAGTTTCATTCTTTTTTCCTTAGATGTATGGTGTTTTGATTGCTGTTTATATTTTTTTCGTTGTTTTTTGGGTTTCGTGTCGTTTTTTGAAGCTGTTTAGTCTGTAGCATTACTATGATGTGCGGCTCTTTGGGATTTCTTTTTCGGGTTTTGTGTCGTTTTCAAAAAATCTTTTTTGCCTAGACCATTTCTATGATACACTCCTCTGTGATTTAACTT